TGCTTTGCCGTAATCTAATAAACCAACTAACCAACCAAAATACCTTATAACTTTAATTCCTCCCTTACAAAAAAGACATATTTTGCAGTCATTATGTTTTCCACTCGAATAAGAATTAACTCAAAGCAAGCTGATTACATGAATTTTACCCAAACCTTAACCATTCCAACTCTAAACCACGAAAAAAAGTCTGCTGCTGCCGATCATATACCTTATTCATATTTAATTGTCTGGGTAGTAGTCAAACGGATTATGAATGCCATCATTCCCTTTAATGTTCGTCTTTTTTATCTGTTTCACACACTTCTGTGCACGTGAATTTTCAGTTTCCGGTTTTATGTCACGTAGTTCAAATATGCTTGATAGGTTTTTGGAATCGTTAGCCTTCTCAAATTCTAGAAATCATCCACATTAATGACATTTTTATTTGAATTTGCTTTTATTGCTCAGCTTCCGGTAGCATACGTAATCCATGATCATGCATGAAAGCTTTTCATGAATCCTGTCGAAGATATTCATCACAAAATTCTGCAAGCCTAGGTATTATGAAAAACTACTGATATGCACAGCAGCAATAAATATCTGAAGTTTGAAAACTTTCAGTCAAAAATTTTACTCTTAACATTAAGTAGAGTTTTTAAGTTAACTAATAATCTATTTTGTTAATATTCCCGCTGATGTCAGGTATAAATTAGATATATTGTGACAAGATAACAGTAGCTATCTGAGATGGATATGTGGAATTGCGTAAAACCATTTTTTCACTGAAAACTGCAGAAATCAACTCATGTGCTTAAATATGCTGAAAAGATAATAAATTCTAGTATGCATTCATTGATATGTTCATTTCTGGCAAAATACAACCTAATCGTACGATATTACAGACGATACAGTAATATTTTCTAATCTTTAAAACATTAACTTATAAATTTTCAAACCCATAATTTCTGTAAAATCATTTACTGTTTAAAGTAGATGTTAAAAATTGCGTGAATTATAATTGTGAATAGCCACATTCAATCGAAGACTGTTCTTTAAAATAGAGAAGAAAATTAGAATAATTTCTCACATAAATTGTCCAATGATCATTCTTTTAATATAAATTGCATCCACTGTACTTAATTTTGATTCTTCCTGCTAAATATTATGCCAAGTATTTTTTAACTGGATAATGTTATTATACATTTTATGATTTTCTGGCAGTTAAAAGGCATTGGTTTCAGATGCTTTATTTAGCTTAGGTTAAAACATTTCTAAATCTAATTTATATGCGAACGTGTCTATGTTTTACTGGCAAGCGATGGCAAAGAACAGAAGCGTATTAAGCGGCTGGTGGACCTGGCGGCCGCCAGGGGCTCCGAACTTCGAAGGAACACCATGAACACATGATTATTTAGAAATACACGCTTTTTCTGAATGAAATCGATAATGAATTGAAACGTTTTACTACAATTAGCTCAATTAAATATTTTATCCTTTAATCCATTTTACCTAAATGTCTGCATCGAAAAACATAGTTAAATTTTGTTACATTCTCTTATCTACGCATGTAGAATGGGTGCACCAACAGAGTTCAACCTTTATCAAAACCGATAAATAGGGTGTTAATTATGATGTTCCGAATAAACAGAGGTACTTCAACGCACACAAATACATAAGATAAACACAAGTACGTACATAATGTAAACTAGGAACCTAAATTCTTAAATTTAAGAAAGATCATTTCAGACGAAATTAATATACATACTTAATAATGTAAGCGTAATAAAAGGGACATTTTTATCGTGGAGAATAATAGTGATGCAAATATAATGCAAAAACAAACATAATGCAAGAATAATACATTAAGCAATGAAATATATTTATTAATAAGCATTTCATAGATAATCATTCTGAATGATCATAGAGGGCTAAACATTGTAAGGAGACTTGTTATAACTGTAAATTGAAATAATGCTATTTTGGCTCTCTCCTGTTTATCTTTTTCTCTTCTTAGAAGTGATGTCCTAAAATTTCTCGAAAACGATCACCAGTAATTCGAAGCAATTTTGCGGTCGAGTGAGGGTGTTCGCCTTAGAAAAATGACTACCACTGTTGTGCCTAATCTTTTATTCTGCAAGACATACTGGTCAGTTTCAGATATTTCGGAAGTGACTGCTGTGAAAGCTTTCTAAATGTTTTGCTGACAGTATCACAGGAGACTCTGACTGATAATTATTATTCATGATCCATTAAGCAATATACGACTTTCTTTATTTTTTTAACTAAGTTTGGCGGCATTATATACAAAAGCTGTTATAAATCGTATTGAAAATCAAAAATGACTGTTTTAAATCATATTGTTGGCATTTTGCCTTAACACTTTAAATAGTGTTTGCCCTCTTCAATTTTCGGATCTGCTGCTTTGAGTGTAGTTGAATGTGCATCGTATATGGGCTTTGTTCTGCTCATTGTCGAAAATCTTTATTGCCATTCGGTATTTGGTAAATTGATAAGTAAACATTTAAAATAATAACTGAATAGCTGTTACAAAGGAAATAACATTTCAGTTTAATTACAATTAAAAAAATTATATCATATCATGGATATTAATTACAATTTCAAAATTACCTTATTTTACAACAAAGCAAATAGTTCCCATTTCTGAAATATATGTTCTTCCAATTTAGATTTGTTAATAAGCTAATATACATAATACCTTTACAGGAAGCTAAAGGGACTGATGGGGTGCGGAATCGCAAGCACATTCCTTCTCCGTCCGTATTTCTTTCAACGGGTCATTTCCACGGGTATTGAAACGTGCTCCACCACAAGGACTCAAAATATAACTATATTTCAGAACTAAGTAATTCCAGAATTGCAGCATTTCAGAATATTAATGACATTTTATGAATGCAATATGGTGCTCCTTCGCACGTGGCCGCAATTTTTCGGCAAGTGCTATAACAGCACTTTGGAGATAGAGTTATTTATTATTTGAACTACAGACTTATATTTAAGTCTGTAGTTCCTTGGCCATCGAGATCCCCTGACCTCATCCTGAAAGATTTCTGGTTCTGGGTTATCTGAAATCTAAGGTGTGCACAACAAATCCACGAGATCTGTCAGGATTAAAAGACGCCATAAAATGTGCGGTCATATAGATTCCTTCTGCGGTGTTACGTCCGTTGCTGTTCTGAACAATTTCCCGCATGCAGTGCATTATCGTCTGCGAAGGTGGACGGTTGAAAACTTGTAATTCCAATAAAAGTCCCCCCTCCTCTTTTGTGTTGTCCTTGGTCTTTTACATTGTTGTTCTTTACAAATTTTTATGTTGACAATTTTTATCATACGTGCATAGTTTCAACTAAAATATTTGTTGTTTTCCACCGATGAGTAATGCCGGAAGAAAATGGTACTGCTAAATATATATCGATTTATTATTCATCAAAATTCGAATATGATCAATTTCTTTTCGAAGAAAAACTTTTAATTCTGTATCAGTTTGTTTCAGAAGGTCAAGTGAAAATACAATGCAGCTCAATACAAAAATATGGGGCAAAAAAATCGATTTTTCTGCTTATATTTCCAGACAGGAAGAAAAATGAATACAGATTCGTATTAATGTAAAAGGTTGAGGAAGCAATCGATTCTTTACCTGTCACGTCTATGAAGTTCAAGTTTAATATTAGAGCTGACAGTATTGAACGTATAACTATTTATTTTTGTGGAATGAACGTTCTAATGTGAAGATTTTTTCCTACTAATCTCAGAATAATGCTTTTTTGAAGCATTTTTATACCTAGTAGAATTTTAGAAATACTGCAGAATTTTGAAATGGGTTATTGGAAACAAAATATGTTTAATTAAGTTATCATTCGTGCAGAATATTTTTGATAAATATATGGCAGAATTAATTTTTTAAGTATCACTTTTCAAAATTTCAATGTAGCTAGTTTATTTAATTAAATCTTCAAATGAAACCAATAACAATCTGCTAAGTTAAATTGTCTCATCAAAGAATTTTACAGTCTTATATAATGCTACGTTAAAACGACATACGTATACATTTAATAATTCGAATTACTAGACTCGCAAAATACTTAAAGTTCTCGGGTTTGGTTTTCAAAGGCTGAAATAGTATTTCTAATATGTATAATATGTAATATGTATAATATTTCTAATATGTAGCACAAAATACAAGATAGTTTCTTTCAGAAATGTTTTCTGAGAACACATCTTTTTTACAAATATATTCAAAGTGAGATTACATTAGTTTGGTTTATTTTGATAATGAAAAAGCACTCGAGGAATATCTGCTTCAGGTTGCTTTCATGGTGTAATTTTTAGGAGAGATGGCTCGTATATATGTTACATATAAGGACACAACGAAAGCACCCATACACCTAACTCGATCGGCTGGAGTCGAGTCTCGAACCGAACTACCAATATTCAGCGAGTGCTGGTGGGCCTAAGAGCTAACCTTAGAATGCTTGTAGAGACATTAGGTGTTTTGGAAGCAGGAAAGATGAAAAATTAGCAACCGCCTTCGCCGGGAATCGAACCACGGACCTCTGGAATACCGGCCCAGCGTGCAGAGCCACTACATCCTGAAGGCATGCTAGGAAAGCGGAATATAATAAGCGGAATAATATAATTTATCTACCAATAACTAATCAACCAAATTTATCAGAATTTCTAGTTACCAAGTTATTGTTTGTAGCAGAGGTTTTTAATAACGCTCTGAAAGTGGTATTGTAATTGAAAAAAAATTAAATCTGCTTAACTTAAGCAAATTAACAGAAGCTTAATAAATGACAATATCTGACTTGTAAGTTTTTAAAATTCATTAATAGTATACGATTATTTAAAGAAAAGCGAGTTTTTAATTATTCTTTTCAATGTAAGATCTACTAAGAAATCATCTTTTATTTTACATGGAGAAAAATTATTTTTAAGTATTCATTATTATATTAGAAAGCAGCACAGAAAAGTTAATGATAAATGTTTTATGTATATAGGTAAAAGAAAATATGAAGAAAGAAAAATGCCATATTGATTGTAAAGAATGCGCAACAGAATTTTTATCGATTCTGAAGAAAGGAGGTATCCCAGGAAACTTTAAAATTCATTAATAGTATACGATTATTTAAAGAAAAGCGAGTTTTTAATTATTCTTTTCAATGTAAGATCTACAAAGAAATCATCTTTTATTTTACATGGAGAAAAATTATTTTTAAGTATTCATTATTATATTAGAAAGCAGCACAGAAAAGTTAATGATAAATGTTTTATGTATATAGGTAAAAGAAAATATGAAGAAAGAAAAATGCCACATTGATTGTAAAGAATGCGCAACAGAATTTTTATCGATTCTGAAGAAAGGAGGTATCCCAGGAAACAGTTTTCTGCATTATAAAGATATATATATATATATACTTTATAAAAATACTTTATATATATAAGTATTTTTACACAACATTGTCAATTATTTTGTCATATAAAATGTACACAATTAATTTAACTAATCACACTCTAATATAAAAAATTAAATTCAACTTCCTAGGGCGGTGTAAATATTCCTTTTGAGGTGTTTTTGTGGTATTCAGGTTGAAAAGATTTAGCTAAGAATTTCCAGAGATTTGTTCATAGGATCGCGATCTATTTGGCCACCTAAACTCTACGAGATCCTACTAAGGAACCTATCAACTTCTCGCGCAGGCGTAAATGATAGCAACACAGAAGAAAAGTAAAAATAATCCTTTATTATCATCAACTATGAACAGAAGGGCACGTACTTCGTGCATAGTTGATACCGTGCACCGACAACTTGCGGTGGAACTTAAGAACCGCTACACAATAAATTTAAGGCTAAAGAAGAATGCTGGACTGGCACTTTAAGCTAAGGCTAACTAGGTTGACTCGACAATCTACCCGACGTGATAATTATTTTAAATGGTCAAAAAGGCGTATCAGCAACTCTGCGTAACAGCAAGGACAAGTTCATAACATGCTCTGGCTAGTGAAAACACACTCTGAATAAACTCCAAGATTCACCTGTTTAAAGGAAATGCGAGGGGAAGTTGAGGAATTCAGAAAACATAACAAAAACTTGAATTTAATTGGTTAATTGAACTAAGGAAAACCCACATGTTTTACTGTGTTCCTTAGTTCCTTAGTGTATTAGGATATCTTTTTGAAGTAAGACCGAAAAGTTTGTTTCTTACTTTACAGTTGTATAAATGAACTATGAACAAAATGAACAAAAATTGTGATGAAAACAGTTTATTAAATTTTTGTTTCATTATTATTTTTAATTTTACAAACGTAAGCAAGTTTTCGGAAAGAGAATTGCAGATTCTAATGGTACAAAAGTTCAATTTTTATTAATATGATGGCTGCGCTTGATGTATTGATGTAGTTGTTTTTTCAATATTTGGTATAAAATTACTTAATTTAGTTTTAAATCACCTTGATCAGAAATATTCAGCTTGTATCTCATTTTTCATCTTAGTTTTGTAGATTTTGCACGATACAGTTTATATCGATATACAATTAATTATCAATTGCCAGTCGATCTCTTGATCATCATTGGCCCATCTTTAAAATTTAATCGATCCTTAGGGGGTCAATACCAATCCCATTGGGAACCCATATACTACATTAATGAAATTTGATATTTTGTGAACTGTTTTTCCTATGTTTCGTGACGCGTGAGTGTTATCTACAACTATGTTTTGTGTTTAAAAGAGAATATGAGCTCTTGGGTATTTTCAAATGTTTCTTTCATTGATATAATGGATTAAACTTCCAAGATAAATAGATATCTATAATTAATTTATACGTTTGTAGTATGAAAACTTTATTTAAAAAACAACGCTTAAAAAATTTGCTTGCGTTTGCTACGGATTTCCTACAAAATGTTTCTTCTTAAACCCTGAGACTAATAATATAGCAAGAGAAAGGGAATTCTTCTAAGTAATCGATTTCAGGGTAGCTGGAGCATTAACTGGAAAATATACTTAAAGTCGTTAACCTCGTATTACGTGACCACCCTACTAGATACGCTTGTTAGGTCCTATAAATGTTTGACGCTTTCTATAACGTGGTACTGCTACTTCACCTGAGCTGAAAAATGATGACCATTACAAAGATAAAAGTACTTCCGTGGAAAACTACTTCAACACGCAAATGAAATGCTTAGATCACCTTACATACAAGTTTTCATTTTGTAAGGATATACACACCTGCTAAAAATCGCTTAGAACAGCAGTATAATGCTACTTTGATACTTTGAGTAGTATACTGGTGTTCAGCAAAGATGACTTATTTTCTTTCTTTCCTTTTTAATGTATAAAACTGGTGCCTGGAAATATATTCTTTTATTTAATTACTATATTTTGAATGTCCATTTAATGTAAAATGTAATAAATGCACACCAAGATAAAGCATGAAATTATTTTTAAATAATTACTTTGTTTTATTGCAGAATTATGTGATAAAATTGTTAAATATTAATTTAGGTAATATGCAAAATAAGAATACTCATGTATATATACGAAAGCTTTGAGTTAATTTAATCTCTCTGCCTGGCTTATTGTCTGTCTGCCTGTAAATGAAAATAAAATCTAGACTCTTTAGCAGATGCCTCAGTAACCATTCACCAGATCTTTTCTTTTAGTATGGATTTCTTAGAGAAGCCAATATTTAATGAAATCCAAACCCCCAATTTCAAAAAAGCATTTCACATTGGGGAAAATTATATGAAAATTTAAATTGGATTCCCTAAAAGATATAAATGTAATACAAGGTAAAGCATAGGCATGCAGTCATTTGACATTATAACCTCATGATAAATTTATCGGACATATACAGGGTGCGGCAGGGAAACTACTTTATTTTAAAAGTGAATAACACAAATAGTATAAGCGATATCAGTTTAATTTTTTTCCAAGTTATATATAAAGAAGTATTTTTTTTAATTACGTTTTAAAAATAATATCATTAAAGTGGCCTCCGTGCTGGTCAATGCATTGAGATAGTCGAGTTTTGAAGTTTCTTTCCATTTTTACCAGGATATCAACGGGTATGTTGTCGATAGTAGCTTGAATATTGTTCTAGAGATTTCAGATAGAAAGAGAAAAAATCACAAAAAGAAATCACAGGGGAGTAAATCAGGCGAGCGCGCTGGCCACTGACAATCGCCTCGTAAGGAAATAAGGCGTCCAGGGAAATGTTCTTCAAAAACTCATGGTCCAATGATGCCTATTCTGGACAATGCACACCAAACAGTCACACATTCTGTGCGGAGAGCTGCTCATGAAATTCTCGGGGGTTCGCATGTTTTGCTGCAACCGGAAAGAGGAAAATGAGCCTCATCGCTAAAGAACACGAGGGCATCATGAGGTGTATCGTCAAGAATGGCTTTGCATGCATTTTTTCGTGAAAGAAAATTGCGTGGATTAAGTTTTTGCACCACTGCCAATTTATATGGGTGAAAATGCAGTACGTTGAAAAGTACGACTCCACGGAGAACGCGCGCTCCTCTTTCGTCCACTGCATGATGTTCGTTACTAAACCTACATGACATAAAACTTTAGGTATCGCTCTTTTCAATGAGCGCCACCCCACTCTTCTCGGAATAAATGTCGCTAGATGACGCGCGTTTCAAATAAGGAAGTTTCCGTGCCGCACCCTATATTAAATGCATTGCGTTTATGCAGTGAATTATTAAAGCTGCTGTTATAGTCTGTTACTTTAAAATAGGTATTTTAAGGCCATCTTCCCCCCCCCAAAACATGCCTCATAACCATATTGCTAAGGCCAATTGTTAAGGCAAAAAGTTCGAAGAAGCATCAGCAAAAGTCCTCTGATTTGCTGATGTGGTGATGACGACATACGTTATGATCATAAATAAGGAAAAAGTCACTACTACTTTGAAGTGTCTATTTTTATGTAACAGACTATAGTCGTATCTGAGTAACCAGTAAGTGATATGGATTAATTTCCGGACTGACCACTTAATATATTTAGTATTAAATTATGAAAAAAAAAGTTATTAGATCTAGAACAAAAAATGCTAATTTTACAAATACTTTTGTTTAATTTTTTTAGGTGAATTTAGGATATTACTACTTTCAGAATCCGGTTAAGATTAGTCTAGGACCCTACGTAAAACGTTCTTTCTGAAGCCTTAATGCTTACTTTCTTTGCTTTTATTGCACAAAAATTGGCTTATAAAATGGCATATGATGATTTAAAAGTCCTGCTTTTTCTCTGGAGTCTTCGGTCCAGGGAAATAGTGAAAAGGTTTTCACTAAATTACACATAACTTGAAAATGGACAGGAAAGTTTTCTTCCTCCAAGTTTTAAGCTCTGTATGAACTCAACAGAAAAGTGATAGCAACAAGTATCAAACTGCAGATCTCTGTTAAGAGGAAATGAACCCGAAACCTTTAATAAAGCTTACTGTATCTGAAGTGGAGAGGCAGATTCTTCATGGTAATATTACTCGAGAAAGACGACGGTTGAACTCAGAAGAAAAGACAAGTTTCCCTGGAAAACCTGCATTCCTTCTCAAAGCTATTTTACTCTGCTTGTGGCTGGATATAAAAACTGTGGTACATTTTGGGTACCTGGAAGATATCTAAATAGTAATATAAAAACATTTTGTTATCAGTGAGATAATTTTAGACGGTGTTTAACCATAAACAGGCTTGTATTTATCAATAGATCTGAAGTAATTCTTCATCAAGATAACTCTAAATTATACTGCAAATGTAACTTAAGAAAAGCAAATAATCGAAAATTTTTATTCTTCCTTTAAGAGTCCAATTATTATCGCTCCAGTTTTTACCTGTTCAAGTCCCTTCAGAATTTTTTTATAATCAAAAACTGCCACAGTTGACAGGAGATCGAAAGTGCAATAAAAGAATATTTTGTGGAAATGCCAAACGATTTCTTCGAAAAAAGGATTGGGAGGTAATGCCTGAAGTAGGGCTGCAGTCACAGAAAACGTTGGATATTACATTAATAATTAAACTTAAAGCAATAAATACTTTTTTCATTTGAACTGCATGTCCAAGCCCTGCCTTGCTTACGCATCAAAACAATATTTTCAGCATGTATTTATGCTCTTTGGACATACAGGAAAATAAATATTAAATGTCTGGTGTGTGTGTAAATGCATATGTATTAGGTTCTATTAAGGTAACGAAATTATGTTTTGGAGGAGAAAACGTAGATGTTAAAAATGAAAGCCGATTCATTAAAGGTGACAAGTACAATCGTGATAAGTTTATATTTCATTTACTGTAGACAAATATTTTTTGAATGCAAACATATATAACTTGGGTGCAAAGCGCACCTGTTCTTGGTACTCTTATATTTTTAGGATATCTTAAAAAAGAAAAAAGAAAGTAAGAGCTACAGCAGATAGCAAGTTTGTAAACTAGAGATACGAAGAATAAATGCAATTTTAAAGGTTAGGTGAGAAGGATTCATTTTTGTTTTGATTTCAGCGTCATGTAAGACGCTGTATTGGACTATTTTGAAATGATCACCTTAGAGAAATCTATTATGAGAAGTTGCTATTTTTAGAATAAAAATGGAAAATAAATAAATTAAAAAGAAAACTTAAAGAGGTATTGAAAATTAAACTTAAAATTTTGTTTCACTAATTTTTATCTTATACATTTATATACATAATTAAAATTAAAAACTGAAGCGAATCAAGAGACTGAAGAATACGATACGTACTATAAGTCGCAATATACAAATAAAATTTACAGAAGATCAAAATGATATAAAAAATGTAAATAATGAATTTCTAAGAATTAATTTTGTATGAATACAGTTATACTAGTATTCTTGTATACAAATAAAAATGTGCTTATTTTAAATAGAGTAAATCTGACATCTTAAAATATTATTTGATTAAAAATTAATTATTTTCAATCGTCATTTTCTTGTACATTTCAGCGTTAAGTTAATCTGAATGTAACAGATATCCTTGCATGACACTAGAAATTTGTTTCGATTTAAAAATGTTTTTCGATTTTTTCCGATTTTTTCGAAAATTTAGTTTCGATTTACTGAAGCAACAGTAAAATTCTTTATTCAGTTCTTTACTAACACAAAAAAAGACCATTTGAAGGTGAAATACATTTACGGAAGAACTTACAAACAGTTTAAAGAAATCAAAGGAAGCATAAAAACTACACTGAGAATCATAATCGCAACATTCGATAAAATCATCGTTAGAGAATGCATATCAGTTTTTAGTTTTCAGTTTTCAATCTCTTTTCTTTTATGCATCCATGTATGTTACACATATCATACATGGATGCATAAATCACATAACCTCGGCAACTACTCATTTCATAGTCACGAAGGATGCAAATGCATTTGTGTGGAACACCATATTTCAAAATTGTGTGGTAAAATTTAGCAGATGACGTAAGGTTTTCAAAGTTCCAGATTTTTTTTTGTTCAAGCAAAAGCCTTCACGTTTTCGCTCCAGTTGAATTTATGTCAGTTACTTCCTCTATGTATACTAAACACGAAAACGCAGTTAATACGAAAGAAAAAGCATAAAGCCAAAAGAAAGAGAAATTGCTAACAGCAGAGTCTTGATTAAAGACTTACTTTGCGGCTGTTAGTCGTCGCTACCACTTTTATTGTTCTTTGATTACATATTTAGATACGATCTGACCTTGACAGGTATTTCTGTATCCGATTAAAATTTATGAATATTGCAGCTTTTATAATTAAGCAAATTCATGTTTTACCTGTTGAAAGTTGATGCATTGAGTATTCGTTATATTTTGCATTTGAAATGGATGGGAAGCGTGTTATTTAATCTATTTATAAATGGCTGACTATGTTTTATTTTTTTTAAAATTTAAAGCGATGGTATGTTGCATTTTTTATATTAAAACTAATAGCTATCGCAGCGCATTATCTTTACTTGATATCTGAAATTCAAATAAAACTTAAAATTTAAAAACTGTTCTTTATCCGTCTTCTCTTTATTAGTTTATATTCTTTACCTTCATGGCTCATCAGTGCTGAACGGTAAATTCGCTGAACGCTGGTAGTTAGACTCATGGTGGGTGCAAGGGCGTTTTCTTTGTTTGACCCGATTTTTTTGAATTTCTCCAACACAGATATTTATGATGACAATTTACTATCCTACAGTAATGTTTTCAAAATTTGATGTATATTTTGCTTTTCTATTTGGAGCTGTATTTTTCTCATATATCCTTGTTAATTTTTACATTACGCGATAGGTGATAAAAAATACTTCAACTGAAGTTTTTATGAAAATTTAACTTACTGAATTTTGTTATTTCTTTTATAAAAACCTTTTTTTTAAGTTAACGTTTGCTAAAAATGATGGTTTGTTAAATCTATAGATTTAATTCTTCGCTACTAGTGCCTCATGACTTTAAGGGGTGATGAAATCAAATTATGCCATCAGAACATCGGAAGAGTTTGGGAGTAAAAACATTATATCCCATGTGAACTGATTAAAAGGAATTATTTTCCTGCTTTCAATGATTTACTTTGTTTACTAGTTTTCCGCATCACAGACTAAAAAGTATAAAATAATGTGTAAAAAGAACTTTCTAAATTAGGGAGTTTTAATTAATGTTTTATTATTTGTTAGCTATCATAAACTTCTTAATCATATATGACTGAAATGGTGGGGTGTCTTCCCTTTTAGGAATATAATAAGAATCTTAACAGAATTTCAAGGAACAGTGTAAAATTCTTATGCTCAAATAAATAAAAATATCGTTATTAATATCTAAGCCACCTTAGGTGTAATAATCTCGCATGCTTTTATCATATTTTACTAAAGAAATAATTAAGTACTGCTATTTAAATTTTTTGATTTACATCAATTGTTATAATGTTTCTTTTGAAACAGTGTTTCACAAGATAACTAACTTTTAAAATTTCTTTAGAACTCTGCTCAGCCGTAATTACATTTAAGCGAATTTCTGATTAGCAAAAACAATAAAATAAGTTAAAATTAAATAGTTAAAGCCCTACAATTGCCATTTTTCGATTTTTTTAAAATAAACTTTTGTTTGATTTATTTTTTCATTATTGAAATATAAGTACAGATTTTATAATATAAACAATAAAAATCACGCGAAATCGTAGTATATTTTCATACAAAAATAGTGGGTTGCATAATCCCTGCCCTTGAAATGAACTTTAAATACCTACGTTCATTGCCCTTCAGCGGCTGAGCGGTAAAGACGCAAGACGCTGAACACTGGTAGTTCGGTTCGAGGTTCGAATCCCGCGAACGGGCTGGCTGCATGGGCGTTTTCGTGGTTTTCCCCCATGTGTAACGTGTATACGAGCCAGTTTCATTAGAAAGTCCTCCACGAAGGCATCTCTTCCTTTAGGCAGATAGCCCTCGTGTGCTTTGCCGTAATTGAATAATCCAATCCAATCCAATCCTACGTTCATTAACGAATTACTTCGATTGCAATTTATCCTTTCAGATTTCGTTAAAATTAGCAAATTACTGAAAATGAAAACACAAATATCTTCAATGAATTATATATGATTAAACTTTGAACAGTGTTTGTCATTCTGTGCTGAATGAGGCCTGAGGTAAGTGCCGTATGTGCTAAGTCCTAAACCAGAAATTCAACATTATTTTTTAGCTTTTAAAGACACATATTAATTTCTTCATGTAATTTAAATAAAAAATAATGTAAAATGGAAATTTAGAAGTTTGTTTTAATTTAAATCAATTCATATATTATTGTCAAAATTGGAAAATTAATTCAAATATACATTGCAGCATTATCACCGAAAATGATATATTCAATAGAAAATGTCATAAGTTTAGAGTAAAGTCAAAAGAATAAATGCCTTTAACAACCCCTTATTCATTTGATAAATATTTCTTAAAAACCCATATAACTGTTTAAACGTATGCTATTTATTTATGTTTTAACTTTAATTTTTTTTAAATTGTTGTTTTATTAAATCTTACTTGTGGAGATTATTTAATAACACTTGCCACAGTAAGGATAGTGTGAGAAACATAAACCTCGTTAATTTATAAAATTAGAAATATATATATCATCGTTAACAAAGTAGGTGGCAGATGAAAGTGTTAAGATCGTCATCTCGTACAATGCGTCATCTCGTGCTTCATAGTTCCTCATTCTATCTAATAATGATGACTGTGTTTTCTTAATTATATTACTCCCACGCTATTAGGGATCTTACGCTTTGAGTAGAATAAAAATTTTGTGCCAGTTTAAAATAAACGATTTAGTGCTATATGCTTTGTGTTATATTCTATAATACTCAAAATTGCAACAGTTTATTTTTGCAACATTTATTTTGAATACGAGATTTCCAACTGCTATTGCTTCCTTTTTGATTATATTGTGATTTAAAGATTTTTACAAACAATAATTGGAAGCTTCAGTACTCTCAGTACTTTATTGTTACAACTAGTATTATGCAGATATATTTCAGATAGAAAAAATAATTGGCTTTTAAATGTAAGTTTGAAATCGAGATTTTTATATCTTAGTATAAGTTTATGAATACTGCAAATAAAGATTTTTGGAAATTATGTTCAATGATGTCTAGGAAGAAGAGCGAAATACAAGTATTTAGGGTGACGCCATTTTAAATTCTTTTATTAATTATAAAATAAACCTGAACATTTCCTGTGATTATAAAATGTACTTTATGCTTTAAAGTACAAAATACAAAATATAGTATAATTTCTACTATTTTATTACATAGATATGTCTTTTATCAAACGCAAAATGCCCATAGAGGATATCAACTATACATAACGTATTAAAATATGTTTAAGTTAAATTTTATTTGATGAATGAAAACCTTAAATAAAGAAATTCCCAAATTTATTCAAATGCAATTATTTAACTAATTAAGTTTCAAAATAGATTAAAATAAATTCCTTATTAGAAAATTTGACAAATTATTTAACTAACATGATTCATACTCATCTAAAATAATCAAAGAATTATATTAAATGCGTATAAAATTTTTCATTTTTTTAAAATAAGACAAACTATCATTATCGTGTTCGATATTTTTAATATAGTTACCGTTAATTAATTATTCCAAATATTTGTATTGTCTTGAATGACAGGAAGAGGAACTTTGTACTGCACATAAAATTTAGGTTTGGAAAGTGTTTAAAATGCATATTGGGTGGGGAGTATTTAGATTAGTGCAGACACAAAACTAAAAGTTTCTCAAATTTCCTTTGGGAAGAGGAGTAACCTAACGTTGTACTGATTCGGATCAAAGGAACAAGAGCAATAAAATATTCTTTTGTATAAGTTGCTAAATTTTTGTTGTGAAAGCATTTTACATTTCAATCAGCTTCTAAATAAACTATAGCCGCAGACTTTGAGAGAGCAAAGCTTGTAAATTATAGCTCTTTATCATATTCTTTAAATATGAT